GCCCCGCCGCGGGGGCGGCGCCTGCGGCGGGCTGCGTTTGAAGTCCTTCCAGGTGAGGGGGAGAGGGGGGGGAGGAGGGGGAGGAGGAGGAGGAGGAGGAGGAGGAGGAGGAGAGGAGGAGGAGGGAGGAGGAGGGAGGAGGAGGAGGAGGAGGAGGAGGAGGGAGGGGGAGGGGGAGGAGGAGGAGGAGGAGGAGGAGGAGGAGGAGGGAGGGAAAGGAGGGAAAGGAGGGAAAGGAGGAGGAGGAGGAAAAGAGGAGGAGGAGGAGGAGGAGGAGGAGGAGGAGAGGGAGGAGGAGGAGGGTGGGGCGGGGCCGGAGGCGGCGCGCGCCGCGGGGGGCGCCGGCGGCTGGGGCTGGGGCGTGCTGGGCCCTGGTTTTGGAAGAGACGGCGCCCCGCGGCACTCCTGCTCGCCGCCTGCCTCCATCCTCCTCCTCCCTCCTCCTCTCCCTCCCTCCTCCTCCCCTCTCCTCCTCCTCCCTCCTCCTCTCCTCTCCTCCTCCTCCTCCTCCTCCTCCTCCTACTCCTCCTCCTCCTCCTCCTCCTCCTCCTTCTCCTCCTCCCTCCCCCCCTCCTTGCCTCTGCCCTCCGCACGTCTGTGGTTCGGCGCGCCCCTTGCACGCCTCGCGGCCCCAGAGGCAGCTGCATCGGAGGCGCCAGCGGGAGGGTTCGCATGGCACCACGGCGCGTCGGAGACGCGCGCGGAGGATGCAGATTCTCGGCGAGGGGGTGTATCTAGGCCTCCCAGGTGGGATCCGAGCAGCTCTGGACCACCTCGCGCTGTAAAAAAGGTCACGAGGTTTTTCGCTGGTTCCGGCCCCCGAGGGGCCCTTACCAGGCCCTGGGGCCGTCGAAAAACGCCTCGGGATGAAAGACAGGTCCCGGGGAAGGGATGCAGACCTCTGGGGGTCGACGTTGCGACGAAAAATCACACCGTCGGGGGTTTGGGTAGATGGGGTTGGGCGATCGCGCCGCATCGCCGATGCATCGCCAATGCGGCTCGATGCGGAGCCCGATTTTCTCCGCGCCGACGTCGCCGATGCGTCGCCGACGTCGGCGATGCATCGGCGATGCGGCGCGACCCTCCGACCCCATCATCTGGGAGGCCAGCGTCGGATGTCCGGGGAGGTCTCGGAGGCGGTCGAGGGCGCCATCTGTGAGGACTCTGAAAGTGCCCACTCGCAAAAGGTTCTAAAACCAAGGGCTCCCTCGAGGGCGCGAAGTTATTCGCGCTTCGCGCTTCGCCGTCCTCCTTCCTCCTCCCCCTCCTCCTCGTCCTCCTCTTCTCTCCCTTTGGGAGGGCGGCGCGAGGGCGCGAAGTTATTCGCGCTTCGCGCTTCGCGCAGCGCGAAGCGCGAACTTAGGAGCCCTTGTAAAACGCAGCGTTTGCCTCGACGTAATGCATCGCACGGCCCCCCGTTTGCGAGCAGTTACTCTGCTCGGACCCCACCTGGGAGGCCCCTGATCACATCGGTCCGTCGGCTTCGGTCCCAGGCCGTTTTCACTGAGGGGAGGTTTGCTAAAGGGAGGTTTGTCCACCGCCGGATCACGTCGTCGGATGTCCAGGGAGGTCTCGGAGGCGATTGCCTCGACGTAGTGCATCGCACAGCCCCCCCATCTGCGGAGACGGAGCGTTTGCGAGCAGTTACTCTACTCGGACCCCATCTGGGAGGTCTCTAATCACATCGTCGGACGTCGGAGGGCGGTTTTCGGTTCGCGAGCGGCCGTCGCGGCCGTCATTCTTGCGGGTCCAGGTCCGTCGGTTTCGGTCCCAGGCCGTTCTCACTAAGGGGAGGTTTACTAAAGGGAGGTTTGTCCACCGCCGAGTTTTGCTTGTTGTTGTTCACAACTCATGGAGGTCTGGGTGCGTCCCTTAGGATGCAATCCCTGAGATGCTTCAACGTCTGTGCTGGTATACATCTGCGTGGTCGAACACCGGCATAGTCCCGACACTGTCACTAAGGCGAGGCTTACTAGAAGGAGGTTTGTCCAGCGCCGGATCACATCGCCGCATGTCCGGGGAGGAGGTCTCGGATCGGGTCGGGCGAAAGGGGGGGTTTGGGAAAGGGGGGGTTACGAAATCTGCTGCATGCAGCTGGTTTTGGCCCCATGGAGGGCCCCATTCCGCGATACATGGGCGCCTTTTGGCGCCTGGAGGCGCCGGGAAAATCAGCTACGTGAGCTGATTCTCAAACTCTGCACGCCCGAAATGGGTACTGAAAGAATGGGTACGATGCCCAACAGCAGTTCCTGTTCATTCTGACCAGGACTCGCTGTCCGCGCCGCCGCGGCCTGTGTCCATTCGAGACAGGAGGCCGCCTGCCCAACAGCGGCCGCTGTTGGTCTGGGACAACATTTGCTGTTGGGCATTGTACCCATTCTTTCGGTACCCATCTCGTGTGTCCAAATACCAGAAGGAGGTTTGTCCAGCGCCGGATCACATCGCCGCATGTCCGGGGAGATCTCGGAGGCGATCGGGCGCTCGCTCGGGAGAGGAGGAGGAGGAGGAGGAGGAGGAGGAGGAGGAGGAGGAGGAGGAGGGGGCGCTCGGAAGGGCCCCTGGAGGGGGGGGGGGCGGACGGCGCAGCAGCCGCGGGAGAGGCCGCGGCGCGGGGCGGCAGCTCCTCCGAGAGTCGCGCTGCGGTGCGGCGGCTGCGGCCACGGCGGCGTGCCACTGGTCCAACGGCACCGTAGCGGGTACTTATTGACGGGTACTTTGATTTTTTGCCGAAAGTTGCCACTTCAGGGCCTCTTTATTGCATTGCAGCTTTGCCCACATCGGGAAGGGTTGGGTTCGCTGGGTCAGTAGCCAAAGTACCCGTTAGTGGAGTCCCCGTTTGAGGGGCGCTGGTTGGTCAGGAGGGACAAAAAAAAACACAGGCACAATGCATCGTCGACTCCAAGAAAGTATGGGAAAAAAATGGGAAGTGGGGGGGAAGGCAAAACCCTAAAACAAAAATATATGGGAGAATAGGGGGAATCGTTTCATTTGTGTGCATTTATTTGTGTGTCCTGGGGCCCCTTCAAATGGACCCGTTGGGAATGCCAGTGGGTTCCTTTGGTATGCCAGGGGGTCCCTTGGGCACTCCAATGGAGCTCACTGGCGTCCTGCGAACTCAAGTGGAGCCCAATGGGGTCCCATGGTCTCCAGCCAACGGAGTTCAATATGAAGTCCAACGGAGCCCAGCGGAGAGCGAAGGAACCCCCCATGGACGCAAATGGAGTCAAAGGAAGTCCAGTGGACCCAACTGAAGGCACAATGGAATCATGTGATATCCAATGGGGGCTACTGGAGTCCACTTGTAGCACAATGGAGACATATTCCGATTCATATGTGTGTATATATATAATACTTATTTAGGGCTGGGGAGCCCCCCCCCCCCCGCGCCCCCCCCACCCAAACGAATTTCGAATCCTCGGGCCTGCCTTGCGCCTGTCTGCGGCCATCCTGGGGTCATCTTGACGCCCCCCGGGCCAACCGGAAGCGAAAAAGCGAGAAGGCCGAAAACATTATTTTTGTCATTGGGTTTTCTCGGAGTTTCGATGTTGCGCCAGCCTTGGGCCTCTTTGGGGCTCGTCTAGGGACTCATTTGGAGCTCTCCTGGAGCAATCTCGACGTCTCAAGAGCTGATCGTAAGCGACAAGGCGAGATTGCCAAAAAAAGTTGTTATTCCAATGGTTGTCATAGACTTTCAATCATTTGGGCCCTCTTCGGCCAGCCTTGGGCCTCTTTGGGGCTCGTCCGGGGACTCGTTTGGAGCCGTCCTGGGGCAATCTTGACGCCTCAAGAGCGGATAGTAAGCGAAAAGGCGAGAAGGTCATTGATTTTCATATGGGTTTCATCGATTTTCAATGATTTGGTTCTTTTTCAGCCAGCGTTTGGCCCCTGTGGGCCTCGGCTTGCGCCTCTCTGGAGCCATCCTAGGGCTATCTTAACGCCTCCCGAGCCGACCAGAAACGAAAAAGGCGAGAAGGGCGAACACATTGCTTTTTCCCACGGTTTTTCATTGATTTTCGAACCTCCGGGCCCTCTAGGGCCAGTCTGTGCCCTCCTTCGGGCTCCTCTGGGGACTCATTTGGAGCCGTCATGGGCTTATCTTGATGCCTCGTGAGATGCCAAGAGTCAATTGTAAGCGACAAGGCGAGAAGACCAAAAACATTGATTGTCCTAAGTTATGTCATAGATGTTCAATTCGTTGGGCCCTCTTCGGCCAGCCTTGGGCCTCTGTGGGCCTCGGCTTGCGCCTCTCTGAGGCAATCCTGGGGTCATCTTGACGCCTTTCCAGTCATCCAGAAGCGAAACAACGAGAAGGCCGAACACATTGCTTTTCCAATGTTTTTGTTCTGACTTCCGACTCTGCGGGCCCTGTTGGATTGTTGCCTTCCCAGGCCCTCTTGGGCCAGCCTTGGGCCTCTCTGAGACCTGTTTTACAGCTCTTTGGGGCCCTCCTGAGGCCGCAACAGCCGATTGAAAGCGAAAGCGCGAGACACATTGGGGAGAAGGAGGGGGAAGAAGGAGGAGGAGGAGGAAGAGGACGATGAAGAGGACGACGAGGAAGGAGAGAAGGACAAGGATAATGGGGAAGATGCAGACAGAGGAGGAGCAGGAAGAAGAAGAGGACGAGTAGGAAGCGGAGGAAGAGGAGGAGGAGAAGGAGGAGGTTGAGGATGAGGAGGAGGAGGAGGAGGAAGCATTAGAGGAAGAGGGGGAGAAAAGGAGAAAGAGGATGAGGAGGAGAAAGGAGAGGAGGAAAAGGGGGAGGAGGAGAAAGAGGAGGAGGATGCATTGCTTCATGCTAGACCAACCACTCGCCTGAGCGTATTCGCGCCTCTGGGCCCCGAGACGCCCTCAGCTGGCCTCGGTTGGTGTTGTCCGGTCGCTCCCACTCAGGAATTCCTCACCCATTCCGACTTGGCGGTGGCCCGCCCCATGCCCACGCGCACGCACGCCGCCTGCGTTCGAAAGTAGAAGGAACAAGGTGCATGGCGCGAAGCGCCACG